CTAGCCCAAGGATGACTAATAAACACATTTCATTCATTACACTATTTAATTATAGTTGAACTATTTATTTATCATATTTAAGCTAGTTTTAAATATAGGAGTTAAGGTTATATTATAACCCACATTACCATATTCCACCATTACTAGTCATTTTAATACGAACGTTATGGGCATTTCTCATTTACTAGCTCATTTAATATAGGTTAAAGTTGTAAAGGCTATATAAAGCCTTCTTTTCTTTTATTAGACATCAGATTTTGGAATTAAGAATAGAACTTCTATTTTAGCTTTGTTGAGAGCTAAACTTTCTTTGCAAATTCTTGTGTTTAGAACTTGTATGATGGAGTCATTCAAGTGGTTTTGATCAAACCTCTGGTGGAGTGATTCGAATCACGAGTTTAGAAACGAGTTTTCTTTACTCTTGATCTTGATCATCAAGGTAATTCGTTCCATACTTTCCCTTTGGTTGATTTCCATATCACCTTAGGTCACTGGTTCGAATCTGGTAGGTCGGATTTTTATTTTCATATTTTTTATATTATTGACCATCTGAGTTATTACTTGCACATGAATAGAATAATTAAATGTATAAGCAATTAGGCCATTCTCCGACCTGCGCATGAAAAGAATAATTAAATGTATGTAGCAATTAGGTCATTCTTCAACTTTAGTTTAGTTGGTAGAGTAGAGGACTATAGTGGGTCCATAGACTCTTAGTAAATTGGTCGATCCGATTTTTGTTTTAATCTTTTTTATATTATCGACCATCTGAGTTATTACTTGCACATGAATAGAATAATTAAATGTATGAAGCAATTATGCCATTCACTGACCTTAGCTCAGTTGATAGATCGGAGGACTGTAGTGGGTCAATAGACTATTAGGAAATCGTTAAGTCAGTGGTTCGAATCTGGTAGGTTTTTACTTGCACGTGAAAAGAAGAATTAAATTTATGAAGCAATTATGTCATTCACCTACCTTAGCTCTATTGGTAAAGCGGAAGACTGTAGTGGGTCAGTAGACTCTTAGTAAAACGTTAGGTCATTGGTTTGAATCCATTACTTGCACATGAAAATAATAATTATGTGATTCACCGACCTTAGCTCAATTGGTAGAGCCTTAGGTCACTGGTTCGAATCCGGTAGGTCGAGTTTTTGTTTTAATCTTTTTTATATTATCGACCTGAGTTATTACTTGCACATGAAAACAAATAGTTACATGTATATGCAATTATGTACTCGACCTTAACTCAATTGGTAGAGCGAAGGACTGTACTGGGTCAATAGGCTCTTAGTAAATCCTCAGGTCACTAGTTGGATTTCGAATTCCCTCTTACGATTCATGTCTCTTCAAATTAAGTATTCCTAAGCTTCAGAGGATTGAGTTGAGTAAAATTGATGAAGAAATCGAGAGCTGAAACGTCCTAGAACGAGCTGCCCAATAAAAGAAAGTTTCGTATTTTCTAGTGAGTTGCAGACCAAGAAAGATTTCTGAAAATTAAGGTCCTACCCTCAAAGACATCTCTTCAAACAAATTCCTTTAGCTTGAGGAAAGAATAAGGAAGGGATTCTATAAAGCAGTCGGGCCCTAAAAACCCCTGTAACCGACTACCCAATAAGGATTCCTCTATTTCGAACTCCGGTGAGAAATCATATTTTGACGAACTTTGGAGGCAAATATCTTAAGCTATGATCCATGAAAAGATATGAAATCAAGGCTTAGCTCTTCCTTGTAACGTCATTTTAAGTTTCATGAAGAAATCAAGGGGAGAAATATTGTGGATGGAGCAGTGGAGGGGTAGTGGAGGGGTGGTTTCAGGCGCCGGCAACCACGGTCGCGAGCGACTTCTTCCAGTCCAGAGGAAGAAGATAATAACGTCGTCGGTTCAACTCAACCAACCTTGTCAAACCAGAATCTAACCCTCTCTCAGTTTTTCCCAATTCTAACCCTCTAATAATTTTGAGGTAATTCAGATACCAGAAGCTCGAGAACGAAAGTCTGAATGTCGACGGTGATGTAATAAGTCATCTTAGACTTTTCTTAAGAAATACTCGTAGGAATCACTCAAATTTCTGTATGAACCTTACAACAAGTGTGAGTTAAGGATATATAAAAGAAAAACTCAAAGAACCCAGAGTTAGGCCCTAAAACGATCAAATTACTAAGGATTTAAGTAATGTTAAATTAACCCACTAAATGAACTCTACTACCTATGAAATTTTAATGCTGAGCATATTATGGTATGCTAAAGTCATACATGAAATTTGATGGTCATTGGATAAGGTTAAGGAGCTAAACCAAGTAACCGTGTAAAATGACTATAATGCCCCTAAGGTAATCTACTTTCGGTTCATGATATAGATGACCTCCAAATGCTATCAAACTTTGTATTAGACCTTATTTTATGATGTTTGATAATTTTGTTAAGTTTGAAATTTATTGAATACATTATGTAGCTAAACCAAGAATTAAAGTATAAAATAACCAAAAGGCCCCTAAAGACTCCTTATGATATATCAAGGTATAAACATGCTCCAAATGACTTACTCCTTTCTACGAGACTTAATCGTAAGGACATGAAGATATGTTAAAGATTTAAAGTTGATTAGAACAAGTTTGGAACCTAAACCAAGTTAGAACCCAAGAAAACCTCAAGACTCAAGACTCTTCTAGAACCCTCTAAAAAAATTTATTATGACTCGGTGACTTTCTAGAATAACTCATGATTGTTTTTGTGATGGGTTCATAAGCTAAAGAATGTACGATGCAATTATGCCTCAAGAACAATAAGGAAAACATAAAATGTTTATGATTAAGAACCCAAGAAAGGTACCACACCAGCTCTACCACTATGAAAATAAGATATTGCAATCCATGTCTTAAAGTTCTGATAAAAGAATACTAAGTAATACTCTAATCATGTCGAAAGTGACCTATGATCTCCCGCCGCGTGGTGCTTTTAGAGGCCCATGTTTTTCTCTTCTAGGTGAGATGCCCTGCACCCTATTTTTTTAGCAGCATGTTATGTTTGGCCTCATATTTCACTCACCTAAATGAGATGCCCTACACCATGTTATGGGTACCCTATTCACGATTTGCAAGATTTCATGTTCATGTCTTACACCGATTACATAACCATTATGGTCTTTCATGGGGAGTAATTTAGGATCATGTTAGGGACAAGAAAAGAGTAAATTACTTTGGCCATGAATCAAGAACCTCCTAAGACTTCCCACGGTACAACATGTTCATGACTCAGACTACGCTGCTTAGAATGTATGAAATCTTGAGCGTAGGTATTCAGACTATGCCGCTTGGAACGTATGAAGCCTTGGGCATAGGTATTCAAGTTGTATCACAGGGGAAGCCCTGGATGCAGGATCAAACTACATCGCTTGGAACGTAAGAAGTTTTGGATGTAAGTTTCCATACTATGCCGTTTGGAACGCATGAAGCCTTGGGCATAGGTTTTCAAACCGTCATTTGGAACACATGAAGCCTTGGACGTAGGTTAAAATTGTGTCGCTAGGAACACATGAAGCCTTGGACACAAGTTGTCAGGTTCATAGACCTTTTATCATGTTTTTGTGTTTTAATGTGCACAAGCATTTATAGCCTAGATGACCACAACGATGGTGTTAAAGTGTTAACTGATCCGTATTTGAAACTGGGAGGCATCTTCCTTCCTTAGTTGTGGCAGATGGTTCAGCAAGCAAAATGAACAACCGATTTGCACTCATAATTGACTCTTCCATTTTTTCTTTTTCGTGGATGATAAATGTTGCATACACCATCTTTGAACAACACTGCTACTCCTTTTTCTTGTAATTGTTCAACGCTCAAGAGATTAATTTTGAGTTCAGGTACCCAATACACATTACTAATAGTGTAACGAACCCCATACGAAGTTAATTTCACTCCCCACCCTTTCCAGTAACTGTCATACTATTATTTTCAAGCTTGACGGTGTGGAAAAAGGTCTTGTCCAAGCTTGAAAACATACCTTCATTTACACACATGATTTGAGCAATCAGAATCTAAGAACCAAGCATCACTCCTTTTTGCTTCATGTCTTTCCATATGAACCATTAACAGCATTTCATCTTCTCTTCTAGCTCTACATAATTCAATTCCATACTCATCTTTGGACATTCATATTGAAAATGACCTAAGTCATGACATCTATAACATTCAAGAGTTGCTTTGTTGAAAGTTGATCTTCCTCTTCCGCGTCCTCTTGTAAGTTCCTCTTCCTCTATTACTTATTTTTGTTCGACCTTCGACTTTTAGAACTTTCTCCATTAATGCTGGATATTCGAAATTTTTGTTCATGCACCACTAATGAATTTTGCAATTCATCAATGGACATGTTATTAGTATCTTTGAATTCCTCAATCGATACTACAACATAAGTAAATTTTTCAGTCAAACTACATATAATTTTTTTTACAATTTTCTTGACTGACATATCTTCTCCATTGCTTGTACAATTTTCTTGACTGACATATATTCTCTATTGCTTTTCATCTTGTTGGAGATTATCATCACTCTTGCAAAATAATTTTTCTTGTTGGAGATTATCATCACTCTTGCAAAATAATTTTAGAGACAACTCTGCTCTAATACCAATAGTCACAATCGCACTTTTCTTGGCAGCAGATTTAGTGATTGTGCGACACTTACTTGCACTGAGTGAGTCAAGCCAACTTAGGATCTCATCGCCTACAGCTCAACAACGTATGCTAGGTCTCTAACCCCTTGTGAGAGTTTTAGAAAGCAGTAGAGAAATTTTAAAAGAGAGTTTGAAAACAATATTACAAGAAAGATTGAATACAATGTTATATGACTACAAACAAAAGGCAACACAACCTAAATAGCATATAACTTTTCAGATTATGAGAATTTGACGAGTCGTATACCCTTATAGTACGTTTTGAGGCGATTCATGTCTAACAAGCCTAAAAGTGATTTCACCGAATGGTCATACAAAATCTAAGTGGGAGAAGTTGATGACTAGTCGCGTCCCCCTACAGTACATTGTAGAGCATTTCATGTCTACCGTGCCTAGACAAGTTTCTGCCAAGACATCACTTAAAAAAAGACAAGAAAATCATACACCATGAAAGCAATAAAGGAAAGCGATAAAGTTACTAGGCAAGAGTTTTGGCATGTAATGGACGTGCAACTTGGACAACACGTCTTGGATAAACATGACCGTGATAGTCACTGGATGTTAGTATCACTTGTCGACTATCAGTTGGTTCGATCTCAACCCTACGAGATCGACCCTCCTCCTGCCATAAGTGGTCTCTCAGCTGCAACACGGCGTGGAAGGAGGGCAATGGAGAGATTGTCATGAAACTTTTTTAGTGAACATTGTAAAAACAATGCCTTGGCAAGGAGGCAGCGCTTGAGCGTTTTACACAATCGGATCATAAGAACTAACAATCAATCATTCATCATCCCATTCCATCCCATCAAACAAAGTAAGTCATTTTCCATTTCCATTTCAATTTCAATTCCTGTCCATAAGGAATTAAAACAAGATCTTGATCCATATGCATCAAAGCATCAAACATCAAAGCATCAAAGGGAGAAGAAAGTTCACAGGCTTGAATGTCACACAACTGTTGATTGAACTGAAATTTTTCCATGCAGCAGCTAATAATGCCTCTTTCCTCCATTCTTAATACACAGCCATTAGTCAAAGCTAGAGTTCAAGAATTTCAGCAATTCATTTCTTCTGTTTTCCTCTGCTTTGTCTTCCTTTGATTTGTCAAGTTTCAACAAAATCTGAAAGGTAATCATAATAATGAAAACTAGAACTTTGTTACCAGACCTGCTAAGTGAGTGAGAAGTGCTTTTGGCCAAGGAAAAAGTGTTCTTAGCCATGTCAAAGGCACTCCAAAACATGTGCAAAAACAACTAAGAGATGGATCTGTCACCTTTTTGCCAGAGACAGCACTCCGCCGAGTACCATCATCCTTCTCCCGCGATAAAAACTGTTAAATTAGATGAAGAAACTGCAAAGTTAAGATAAGAGATGTCGAAAAATAATGAATTGAAAATAAACAATGCTGTGAAGGGAACCTTGGAAAGCTGCACAGGGCTACTACTCTCTTCTGGCTGTTTCTATACTTCTCTTATGGTTCCTTGGAACAGCCCGATCATCATGACACGGACCCCAACTCCAATTTCAAAGAATCAATCAGTAAATGATCACAGAAACATCTCATATTATATCCAATTCAGAAACCACTCCAAAAACAAAACCAACTATAGATGCATTCTAAAGATTGCAGGACTAGAAACAATAAGATCATTTGGCAAATAGATCGATACTTTCAGCCTCAGTCTAAAGGGCTTGTCTTAGAATGGCTCAAATTTTTTAGCCTCAAAGCTTACGCCTTCTTTAGATTATAAGTGGTTTAGAACTTTTATACATGATGCTTGGAGTCTTTATGCCTCAAGTAATGATTAGAAAACTAATATTATCTTGATGCCCATTCTTAAAATATACAAAGGTACATGTCTTACACTATTGCGTTGGGATAAATCAGGCCTACCAAAGACTAAAAATACATTGAAGCAAAAATCTAAGACATTGGATGCATGTGTTAGAAGCTAGATCTCCAATCACAATATGTTCTGAAGTAATAAATCAAAAGGGTTCTGAAGTAATAAATCAAAAGGGTTCTGAAGTAATAATCAAAAGGATGTAAATACGAGTAAAAGCAGTAAGATATTAAACTTGTTTCATGTATTTATGGATACATAAATTGGGGAGATATATGTACATTAGAGATCCATGTACTTGGTTAATAATTGAAAAGTCATGGGCGTTAGATTCATTTGATTGATACATGTATTAGATTATTCATATATCACTATAACGATAGTACAAGTATTAGGTAAATTCGTTATTTAGTATTTGGTATATGTATGGCATGGAGGATGTTCCAAAAAACCTATAAAAGATAACAAAATTGGTATCAAAGCTAAGTTAAATATGACTTCATCAAGTTAATTATGGTAAATAGAGTATCCAAATGGAGGCCTTGTTGGGATCTTCGGGAGCATGGGACGCGATGATGAATGGATTCAAGGAGGAGATGAAGAAGGAGAAGAAGGCACTATGCACAAGAAAGCTTAAGAGGTATTGGAGAAAGCCTTGCTAGCAGATTTCGAAGCCCTACAACAAAAAGGTTCGGAATCAATTTGTGATTACTTCTACTATATAAACTAGGGTAATAAATGGAGACATGGGGAGAAGGTAGAAGTACAATTTGTGGAGAAAATCCTGGAATCTTTACACTCAAAGTTGACTCTATTGTCGTGACAATTAAAGAATCTCATACTCTTGAGAAGATATCAGCGAAGGAGCCTCAAGGCCCTCTACAAGTTTATGAAGAGGTAAACGTGGTGGCCAAAAGGAAGAACGAGATGGTCACGATAACCACTCTAATGAACAAAGCAGCAACCATACCGATGATAGTAAAGGGAATGGTCGTGGAAGCTATGAGGTGCCTAGCCGAGGCCGCAGTCATGGACATGGTCGACAAGGACCCATCCACGACCAGACCTCAAGCACACGCCTCATTGCTCCTATGACTATTCCCTTTACTATCATCAATGTGATTGCTATTTCATAAATTAGATTACTTATTGCAACCACCTCGTCCTCCATTTTGACCACCAAGGCTACCCTTACTCAAGGTAGCCTCCTTTCGAGAAGCCATCCTTCTTTTGGGAAGAGTTGGCTAGCCATCCATCTTTTGGGAAGAGTTGGCTTGCAGTGCTTGCTCCATACGTCTTCTTTCTTCTTTCTCTAAGCCTCTTTCTTCATAGACTTGTATAGAGTCTTGAAGCTCCTCTACTAATATTTCTTCAAGTTTATTAGATTCTTCAACTTCCACAGCAATGTAGTCAAACCTTGAGTGTAAAAATCACATAATCTTCTCCACAACTCGTACTTCTTCTACCTTCTCGTCATGTCTTCTCATTTCTTACACAATGGAGTTTACACAATGGAAGTAAACACATATTGATGTTGAATCTTCTTGATGTAGAGCCTCAAAATCTACGGGTAAATATTGCAAGCAGATTTTCTTCACTCTATCTAAACCATCAAAGTCTTTCTCCAGACCTCCCAAGCATTCTCAGAAGATTTTGCATGGACGATCAACTCAAACGTGGTGCCATCTACTCTTTGGTGGATTGTGAATAACGCCTTCTTCTCCTTCTTCATCTCCTCCTCCTTGAACTCATACACCACTGTGTCCCATGCTCTCATAGATCCCAACAAGGCCTCCATTCTATTTACTATAATTGGTCCCATGCTCCAATAGGTCCCAACCAGGCTTCTATTTGGATACTCTATTAACCATAATCTGTTTTGTTAAGGGGACATGGGTATGAATTGAACTAGATGAAGTCATAGTTAACTTGGCTCTAATACCAGTTTTATGGACAATTATGAGGAAGAGATGTATTCTATTTTAAAGTTGTCAAGCCTTTTGAAATATCCTCCATAGTCATACATGTACCAAATATTAAATAACAAGTCTATATAATACATGTATTATCATTATGGTGATACATGAATAATCTAATACATGTATCAACCAAATGAATCTGACTCTCATGACTCTTCAATTATTAACTAAGTACATGGATCTCACATGTACATGCATCCCACAAATTCATGTATCCATAAATCTAACATACATAGAGGTTATTTCCATGGCATTTCTCAATTCATCGAAATTACAACATTATCAGCAACAAAGGGAAAAATAGTACACAAGCACAATAGTGGTCTACCTCTTTAGCCTTATGCTTACGCCTTTCATGGTGATGTTTCTAACTTCGCTCCCTCTTCTTATCGATGCACAAATAGTAACAATAACAAGGAGAAATCCACAAGTGAAACTACAAAGCCAAATAGGAAAAGAAATGTTGTGTAAAAACATCTACCGTTTTCGTTCTACCATTCTTCTTATGCCGCTTTGAACGGCCAAACTCTTCAAGCTCACTTTGAGAAGAGCTATTGCTTCTGCAAGTATATACAAGGGCTAGTAAGAATTATCTTGGGTACAAGGCAGGTGCTGTGCAAAAATAATTGACTGGAAAATAAGCAACACCACTCACTCAGACATGATCTTGAAAAGTATAAATTAAGAATCCCAGAAAATATGAAGCACGTCTTCTTCCGACCTCTCTCCCTTTTTCCTTCTCCTATCTGCAAACTCTCTTATTGCTGCTACTTCCAAAGCAATCAAAATGGAACAAACCACTTGAATGAGGAATTAATGATCTGGAACGCTTCATAGTAAACAAGGCTATCTAAGACAAGGGACGCCCCTCGTTCCAGATCTAGAATGAATGAACGAAGTTGTTCCTCGTTCTGATTTGGAACAAATGAACCTCGTTTAAAAACAGACCAAACTAGGCATCTGTCCAGATTGGATTATAACACATTCACCGCCCCATGTGGGAGAGAATTGAATGGGGATAACAGCTGCTGCGGTAATAGAAAATAGCCACCAGAGATTGAAGATTACAAAGTCTCTCCGTTGATGGGTTAAAGATTCAATCCCAAGGGCTGCAGAACAAATTGATGGTAAGATCAGAGGAGGAAACACTGTCGACTGGTTTGGAAGAGGGGGGAAATTTTCTGGTCAACAATTCCGACGAGCCAATGGTTGACAGTGCAATTGGATCATTGGTGATCAGAGTACCGCGTCAAAGGGAGTTGGAACTTAGGAAGGAGAAAGTGGAAGACCATAGCTTGAGAAGAAAGTGCCGACGATTCTGACACCGATGATGAGTGTCACGGTCATGCTCGTCCAAGGCGTGTTGCCCATGGCCGCATGCCCATGACAAGCCCAACCCTTTATGTCTTTTCATATTCAGTGTTTTACAACTTTGTATTTATAGAGAGTATGACGTTTCAGAAATATCATGTCTAAGCCGGTCAGACATGAAATGCCTCAGAATATACTATAGGGGGATACGACTAGTTGTCAACTTCTCCCTACCCAAGGTTATATACCGTAAGCCGTTGTTATTTCTCTCTTGCTTGCTTATATAACGTCTCTTTCAAAAATCTCTCTCTGCCCTCGCTTTCTAAAACTTTCTCTTAAAACCGAGGCTAGAGGCTCGAGCATACGTCGCTTGGCCGTAGGCGACGCAAGAACGAATTGGCTTAGCTCACTTGTCGTTGGAAAGTGAGTGCCGCACAATCGCAAGTCTGCTGCCATTAAAAGTGCGATTGTGACAATGAGCAGGCCAGAGAAAAGCAGAATGAAGACACTCAATAAAAGAATCATACTTAGCCAGCACAACAACATACATCCATCCATTTAACCACCACATCAATTGTTTGTCAGCAAACGTCAGTCAAATTGGTTTACAACCATTTAGAACAAATCATTTGGAACAATCTTTCAAATCACCGGATCAAATAGACACCAAACTCAAAAATGGAGACTATTTGCCCAAAGTTTAAATATAACAGAAGATGCCATAAATTCTTCGCTTCCTAAACAGAAAATGCCATAAATTTCAAATTCATAACCAGGAGTTGAAGTTCTCATGCCAAGCAATTCTGATTGGCAACCTAATCATAACTAAGAGCACATAAATCAGAAGACCTCCAGAATGACAAAAAAAGAACAGATTAGAAAAGACTCAACAGAGTTCCTCAAAGAGTATCAACTATCGCATAAAAACTCCCAGTTTGCTTCAAACTCTAATCAATAGCAACCAAACAACAACCAAGGTAAAAGGAATATAATATATATAATAAAAAGATCAGAAACCACAGAGGAAAAGCATACTAAGAGAAAAAATTTACATGTTCAGGTTACCGGGAGTAATGGAATCGGAGTCAGATGAAGAGAGAGAGTCGGAGGAGGAGCGGCGGTGCCTGCGACGGCGTTTAGAATGAGAGCGAGATTTCTTGCGAATCCTAAGCGTGGCCCGATCTTTTTGACGGCGAATTCCCCGGCGATGGCGAACACGAGAAAGAAGAAGACGATGAGTCGGAAGAGTAGGATGTTGCCAACGAAGACGAGGACGCCATTGGAGAGAGTGGGAGATTATGGTTTCGAGAAGGACCAAAGGGCTAGCCGCTAAGGAAAGGGACGGGATGGCGTCATGGGGTTCATACCCTACTTTTAGTTTGGGCATTTGTGGATTTGATAGTTGAGGTTTTTTGATCGGCTTGATTTTGCAATCAAAATGGACTAGCAAAGAGCAAATGTCGGCATATCTTCATCATTCGAGTAAACAAAGATTTGTCCAGGATGTGAAGTTGTAAACAAAGATTCTGACTTGTTAAACCATGTGAAGTTGTAAACAAAGATTCTCACTTGTTAGACCACCACACAGCTCTGGCTCAGCCCTGTGTCGTGATGATTGGGTTGGGGTTGGCTCGGGCCTATGTCGTGATGATCGGGTTGGGGTTGGCTCGGCCCTGTTCGTGATGATCGGGTTGGCTCGGCCCTGTGTCGTGATGATTCGGGTTGGCTCTGCCCTATGTCGTGATGACCGAGTTGGCTCTGCCCTGTGTCGTGATGACCGGGTTGGCTCTGCCCTGTGTCGTGATGACCGAGTTGGCTCTGCCCTGTGTCGTGATGACCGGGTTGGCTCTGCCCTGTGTCGTGATGACCGGGTTGGCTCTGCCCTGTGTCGTGATGACCGGGTTGGCTCTGCCCTGTGTCGTGATGACCGGGTTGGCTCTACCCTGTGTCGCTCTACCCCGTGTCGTGATGACCAGGCTGGCTCTGCCCTGTGTCGCTCTACCCCATGTCGTGATGACCAGGCTGGCTTTGCCCTGTGTCGCGATGACCAAGCTGGCTCTGCCTTGTGTCGCTCTGCCCCGTGTCGTGATGACCGGGCTGGCTCTGCCCCGTGTCATGATGACCAGGTTGGCTCTACCCTATGTCGCTCTACCCCGTGTCGTGATGACCGGGCTGGCTCTACCCTATGTCGCTCTACCCCGTGTCGTGATGACCGGGCTGGCTCTACCCTATGTCGCTCTACCCCGTGTCGTGATGACCGGGCTGGCTCTACCCTATGTCGCTCTACCCCGTGTCGTGATGACCGGGCTGGCTCTACCCTGTGTTGCAAAACCCCGTGTCGTGATGACCGGGCTGGCTCTACCCTGTGTTGCTCTACCCCGTGTCGTGATGACCGGGCTGGCTCTACCCTGTGTTGCTCTACCCCGTGTCGTGATGACCGGGCTGGCTCTACCCTGTGTTGCTCTACCCCGTGTCGTGATGACCGGGCTGGCTCTACCCTGTGTTGCTCTACCCCGTGTCGTGATGACCGGGCTGGCTCTACCCTGTCTTGCTCTACCCCGTGTCGTGATGACCGGGCTGGCTCTACCCCGTGTCGTGATGACCGGGTTGGCTCTGCCCTGTGTCACTCTGCCCCGTGTCTTGATGATCCAGTCGACTCTACCCCGTAACTGACGGATGACGAAACCACAAGAGAAGTAACTGACGGACGACAAAACCACAAGAGAAGTAACTAACGGACGACAAAACCACAAGAGAAGTAACTGACGGACGACGAAACCACAAGAGAAGTAAATGAGGGAGGACGAAACCACAAGAGAAGTAACTGACGGACGACGAAACCACAAGAGAAGCAACTGACAGACGACGAAACCACAAGAGAAGTAACTGACGGACGACGAAACCACAAGAGAAGTAACTGACGGACGGAAACCACAAGAGAAGTAACTGACGGACGACGAAACCACAAGAGAAGTAAATGATGGACGACGAAACCACAAGAGAAGTAACTGACGGACGACAAAACCACAAGAGAAGTAACTGACGGACGACGAAACCACAAGAGAAGTAACTGACGGACGACGAAACCACAAGAGAAGTAACCGACGGACGACGAAACCACAAGAGAAGTAACCGACGGACGACGAAACCACAAGAGAAGTAACCGACGGACGACGAAACCACAAGAGAAGTAAATGATGGAGGACGAAACCACAAGAGAAGTAACTGACGGACGACGAAACCACAAGAGAAGTAACTAACGGACGACGAAACCACAAGAGAAGTAAATGATGGAGGACGAAACCACAAGAGAAGTAACTGACGGACGACGAAACCACAAGAGAAGTAACTGACGGACGACGAAACCACAAGAGAAGTAACGGACGGACGACGAAACCACAAGAGAAGTAACGGACGGACGACGAAACCACAAGAGAAGTAACCGACGGACGACGAAACCACAAGAGAAGTAACTGACGGACGACGAAACCACAAGAGAAGTAACTGACGGACGACGAAACCACAAGAGAAGTAAATGAGGGAAGACGAAACCACAAGAGAAGTAACTGACGGACGACGAAACCACAAGAGAAGTAACGGACGGACGACGAAACCACAAGAGAAGTAACTGACGGACGACGAAACCACAAGAGAAGTAACTGACGGACGACGAAACCACAAGAGAAGTAACTGACGGACGACGAAACCACAAGAGAAGTAACTGACGGACGACGAAACCACAAGAGAAGTAACTGACGGACGACGAAACCACAAGAGAAGTAACTGACGGACGACGAAACCACAAGAGAAGTAAATGACGGACGACGAAACCACAAGAGAAGTAACTGACGGACGACGAAACCACAAGAGAAGTAACTGACGGACGACGAAACCACAAGAGAAGTAACTGACGGACGACGAAACCACAAGAGAAGTAACTGACGGACGACGAAACCACAAGAGAAGTAACTGACGGACGACGAAACCACAAAAGAAGTAACTAACGGATGGTTTATTAATAATAAAATGGGGGAAAATGTCCGAATCCAAACTCTTACAAAATGGAAAAATTGCAAACAATTAACCATTTTATAAATTAAAAAAAAAAAATCAACTCGTACTAACACACGGCTCTTACGGCCTTAAGCCTGGTCGCCGGCCGCCGGCCGCCATTTCAAAAGAATTAAAAAATGTTGGTAACCAAAATCAATGAGCTACACCTCACTGTGTCCTTTCATTGTCAACCCCGGCGCGTACGGTGTTCCGGTGGCCTTTATCCATCTATCTCCCAATAAAAACCTACTCGCCGTGAAATCCACCGCATGCGCCGGCGTAAGAACCTTCACCCCCCTCCATTTCACCCTCTTCGACGTGTCCGACCCTGGCCCGTAGTTCCGAAACTCCGTGTAAAAGCATGTCTTCAACCCCCAGTCGCCGCTCCACGGCAACCACCCGTCTGGATGAATCACATCGTCGATGTATGATTCCATGATGATCGTTCTTGAATATTCCTTCCACGGTCTCCCGAGGAAGGATCGGAACTCATTTTTCACTGGGGCGAGGTCCGTGTCCGCCTTGAAGGTGCAGTTTTGGATGATTAGGGCGGAGGGTTGTCGGCGCTCCTTCCGGCCGTGTGCTGTGACGATGTTTTGTTGATTTGAAAGCGGCTTGCGGATTAGGAAGATACAGTTTTGGAAGACGACGGCTGCATCGCCAAAGATGAAGTCGATGGTGCCAGAGACGATGCAGTCTCTGTAGAATTGTCGCAAGGTGTGGACGTAGAGTGTGTCTTGGTAGCCATGCATCTCGCAGTTGAAGAATATGGCTTTGTCTGCTTGGACTCGTAATGCTACTGCTTGGTGCTTGTGTGGTCCTGCCGTGTTCACAAACCCTATGTCTCTTGCTAGGAAGTGCTCCGCCGTCGCAGCTGCATGCAATTATTTAAACTAATATCAGGCATCGGGACATAGCTGCATGCAATTACTTGAACTAATATCAGGCATCGGGACACAGCTGCATGCAATTACTTGAACTAATATCAGGCATCGGGACACAGCTGCATGCAATTACTTGAACTAATATCAGGCATCAGGACACAGCTGCATGCAATTACTTGAAACTAATATCAAGCATGAGGACACAGCTGCATGCAATTACTTGAAACTAATATCAAGCATGAGGACACAGCTGCATGCAATTACTTGAAACTAATATCAAGCATGAGGACACAGCTGCATGCAATTACTTGAAACTAATATCAAGCATGAGGACACAGCTGCATGCAATTACTTGAAACTAATATCAAGCATGAGGACACAGCTGCATGCAATTACTTGAAACTAATATCAAGCATGAGGACACAGCTGCATGCAATTACTTGAAACTAATATCAAGCATGAGGACACAGCATCGGGACACAGCTGCATGCAATTACTTGAACTAATAAACTGAACTCGGGTCAATATCAGCAATGCAAGTTCATCCGGGTCAATATCAGTAATGCAAGTTCATCCGGGTCAATATCAGTAATGCAAGTTCATCCATAGATAACCTAACTCGGGTCAAGCAATGCAAGTTCATCCAAAGATAACCTAACTTTATAGAGGTATGACACAATCAAATACGAAATTAGTATACTGACCAAAGGTTGCAGTTTTGAATGTGGTTATGCCATCGACGAAGTTCTTCTGGCCACTGATGATCGTCTTTTTCGGGCCATCGCCAATGAGCATCAAATGGGTGATAGATTTTTTAATGCTCACGTATTCCTTATACACTCCTTCCTTGATATGAATCACAAAAGTTTCGTTGTTCTTCCTCTTTGGAACTTTGTCAATAGCTGATTGAATGTTGTTGAAATCCCCACTTCCATCCACAGCCACCACAAAGTTCGCCTTCACTTTCCCCTTAGCCGCCAGTAGCCGCCGTATCCCGGGGTCGGCCCACTCGGGATAATCGTCGTGCCCAACGACAACAGGAGCATCGAGAAGTCGCCGTCGGCCGATCCCTGGCACCTTCAAATCTGTCAACATGGACGAGATCTCCGTCACCATCGCCAATCCATTGCTACTCAATCGCATCGACGTCTTCAATGCCTTCTTCATCTTCTCCGATGCATCCCCTGTTGTGTTTTCAAACGAATCCAAGCAAGTTTCCTAATTCAAAAATTTATCATAACCCATCAAACTTTAAACGAACAAAACTCGCCAGGTAATAGTTTCCCACACCAATTCAAAAATTTATCACAACCCATCAACTTTAAACGAACAAAACTGTCCAGGTAATAGTTCCCACACCAATTCAAAAATTTATCACAACCCATCAACTTTAAACAAACAACACTCGCTCAGGTAATAGTTTCCCACACCAATTCAAAAATTTATCACAACCCATCAACTTTAAACGAACAACACTGTCCAGGTAATAGTTCCCCACACCAATTCAAAAATTTATCACAACCCATCAACTTTAAACGAACAACACTGTCCAGGTAATAGTTCCCCACACCAATTCAAAAATTTATCACAACCCATCAACTTTAAACAAACAACACTCGCCCAGGTAATAGTTTCCCACACCAATTCAAAAATTTATCACAACCCATCAACTTTAAACAAACAACACTCGCCCAGGTAATAGTTTCCCACACCAATTCAAAAATTTATCACAACCCATCAACTTTAAACGAACAACACTGTCCAGGTAATAGTTCCCCACACCAATTCAAAAATTTATCACAACCCATCAACTTTAAACAAACAACACTCGCCCAGTAGTTCCCCACACCAATTCAAAAATTTATCACAACCCATCAACTTTAAACAAACAACACTCGCCCAGGTAATAGTTTCCCACACCAATTCAAAAATTTATCACAACCCATCAACTTTAAACGAACAAAACTCGCCCATGTAAGATTACCTGGTACGTAATGGTGGCACTAAGCCAAATCTTAAGATCGATCAATATCTCATCGAGGTGCGTAGTGTCGAAATCACCAAACCTACTCATCGAGAATTTAAGCTCGTCGATGGCGAAGTCCATGAGCTCCTTACAGCCAGCTAGGGCTTGGGAGGCTCTAGGGTCTTGCTCAAGTTGTTGCAAGGTGACAGATTGTTTAGCTGCGGCTTGGAGTAACTTCATGGCAGCTTTGAACCCAGCTTTAACCAATTCATGTGGGTCAGAAGAGTTGTTAGCATTAGACTTAAGACTATCAACACAGTCCTTTTTATAATCAGTGGATTGGCAAATGGATTTAATGGCTTTCACCGACGCCGATATTTCATTGGATTTGGTTCCGGTGGTCGGACCGCCCGCTTCGCCGTTGTTTAGGTTAACCCCGACCGTGACCGCCACCACCATTGCGATTAGTAACATCGACGAGACGCCGATGATGGCGTATCTCTTATTGCTCCCGGAATCATCTTCATCATAAGCCATGTTGTTGTGTCTTTGTTTTTTTACTTTGAATTACCCAAAAGGGGTTATTTTTTCCTCCTTTGTTTGTACAATCTCTCCCTCAAGAAGGGTAAAAAGAGGGTGAAAACTTTATTAGAAGTAAAAAGTAAAAAAAGGGTTTTGACGCTAGTTGGGGACCTTCCTCTTAGAAGCCCCTTCTAGATGTGGATTTGATGAGGATTTGAAGAGAGGAAGAGATTATAAAGAAGCTGAACCCTTTGGTTTCAAAATTCAGTTGAAATTGTCCTCAAAACTTGGTGGCACACAAGACAGGTGCTCGGAGACATTTAAGGTTGTTCTGTTTTTCTTTACTAAAAATGGAAGCTTGCCCTTGTCAATTTTTAACCAATATTGTTATCAAAATTAAAGATTTTGAGGAGAGACTTATTGATGTAGGAGACCAAAAATATTATAGTATTACTATTATGTAATGTCTCTGTGTCTGGAACGAGAAGTATAGCATGAATGAGTATAAAAATGCTTCGTGAGTAGCTAGTAACATAGAAAATGTGTCGTAATGTGTCATGTGATATATATATATATATGCGCGTGTGTGTGTGGGCTAGCCATAAATGGCTTTCAATCATATCTGTGGGCTAGCCATAAATGGCTTTCAATCATATCTCGGGGCAGTTGATAATGTATCGAGACTGCATGCCTATCGACTACGATATATATGTGAGCTAGTCATAACTCTCAATCACATTTATGAACGGTTGAGTCTCAATTTTTAACCCTTAGGTTAAAGTAAAAAATATTGTTATCAAAATTAAAGATTTTGAGTAAAGACGTATTAGATATTGTTTAATGTTGAAAACCAGAAATATTATAGTCTTATTGTTATGTAATGTCTTTGTGTCTGGAACGAGAAGAATAGCATGAATGAGTATGAAAATACTCCGTGAATAGCCCACTTGAAAGGTCGCTGTTACGTAGCATAGAAAATGTGTCGTATAGTGATAATGATAATGTGTCATATGTATATATATATATACGTGGGCCAACCATAAATGGCTTTCAATCATATCTCGGGGCAGTTGATAACGTGTCGTGACTGCATGCCTACCAACTACGATACGTATGTGAGCTAGTCATAAATAACTCTCAATCACACTTATGAACGGTTGAGTCTCAATTTTTAACCGTTAGGTTAAATTTAAGATATGGGTATAATGAAAATATAAAAATATTGTTATCAGAATTAAAGATTTTGAGTAGAGACGTACGGGATACTATTTAATGTCTGAGACCAAATAGATACAAATCTAAACCTCAGATGTAAAAAAGAAGTATCATAGTCTTACTGCTTTGCAATGTCTTTGTCAGTAGCTATGGAAACTCGGGTATGGTCTGGAACGAGAAGAATAGCATGAGTATAAAAATACTCGGTGAGTAGCCATTTGCAAGGTCATTGTTACTTAACGTAGAAAAATTTATGGGCTTTTGATACTCGATTTCAAATTTCCTATTGGGTTTTTTTCTAAGCTGAGCCGGGATACTTTATTTTATTAGTATAGTCGAGAGAACAATAAATTATTCCAATTGATAATATTAATTTCGATACCACTTTACGCTCCAAATTTTTTATAACTAAATCAATCTGTCTTAGGTGAAAGAGAGGATACGTCGATCAGGGGAGAGAACGGAGAAATATCATATAACCCGATATATCTGACAAGTCGCACTATAAGCCAACCCATGATTCTTCTTCATCTCTAGGACTTCAAAAGAGATTTTTGGAATACCAATAGGCATTAAAACGAACAAAAAAGAATCGAGTACTATAGCTCACTTTGATGTGGAAGCGTAACAACGGGTTTATTGTCGTAATAAATAAGATCGACCATTCTTATCATATTTTATCGACACATTTTGGGCCTCGATTGTCCATTCGAATTTACCTTGAAGTATAACAATCATACTTTTAAGCTTAACTAGTCTCAATGTGCAAGTAGCTAGAACCCTGCCAAGTCAACCAAGTTGTTTATGTTTGTATAAGGAAAAAGGGGGCGAGAATTCCGACGACTCACCGGAATTCTCGTACCCTCGCCCTTAACATTTCTCCGACGCCAAGAACACGCCAACAACCTTCAGACGCACCTCACAGAATCCACCTGCAACGAAAAATAGTAGGATACAGAGGAAAAACGAGGGAGAAGAAGAAAAGACTGTTGAATTACCTTGCGATGAGTACGACGCCAACAACCACTCCATTGAGACTCACAGCGTCGTATAGTGTAGAGAACGCTATGGAAGAGAGGACTAACGAGCCAGGGAACACCTTGATGCACACGAGTGATTACCACCAAACGATGTTGTAGCTTTGTTAAGAATAAAGGTTCGTTGAGACTTCGAGAAAAGAAAACTTATTGTTGATATATTCATCGTATCATATTTTTAAACATAGTTCTCAATTCCAATTATAGGAAAGAAAAACATATCCAAAGATTTAAATTTCTAAGCCTATAACATATGGATGTTTAATTACTCAATCCCAATGTGAATTTAACCCCGGTTTTTGGTAACCATGTTCGACCGTTAATGAAGCGCATAGGAGTGAAGAACCTAGCTACAGCGGTGTCTCGGATATTGTGGTACCCGGGCCATTTGACCCGACCCGAAAGGGATGCACCGGGTCCATAGTTTTTGAACTCTCCATACCACAATGTGCCTAAAGCAAAATTACCATACCACTCAAGCCATCCTCTAGGTTGTACCAAGCCACTCATGTAAGTGTTCAAGAAGACTGTCCTTGAGTATAGCTTCCATGGTCTTCCAAGATACGTTGGTTGAGTTGCGTAAATAAAGCTGTCTTGGATCGAAAACCCCGTACTCTGGTGGGGGGATTTTCGACCTTGAGCGGTGATCGTGACCTTTTGAAGCGGGAGCGGAACTCTAGTGTAGATGTTACATTTTTGGAATACTGCTGCTCCGTTGCCGAAGATGTAGTCTATCGTGCCGTAAATGTTACATTCCCTGTAAAATTGGCGTAGGGAGTGGACGTAGAGCGTGTCTTGATAGCCTTCGAAGCTGCACCGATAGAAGGCTGATTGATCAGAGTCGACTCGAAGTGCCACTGCTTGATGGTTTTGTGGTCCAGCCGTGTTGCGAAATGTCATGTCTCTTGCTATGAATCCCTTCCCGGAAACCGCTACATAGAAAAACATGTCAGTCTTAAACCGAGTCAAAACATCATTTTAGGAATCACGACTCTCCACAATGGTATGACATTGTCCACTTTGAGCATAAGCTCTCGTGACTTTTTTTTTTGGTTTTCCCAAAATGCCTCGTACCAATGAAGATAGTATTCCTGACTTATATGTGGGACTCCCTCCCAATAATCCTCAACACATCATGCATATAGCTACTCACCAACTGTTGCAGTTCTGAACGTAGTCCATCCTTGAAGAAAATTGCGACTTCCCGTCACTACCGTTTCTCCGATACCATCTCCGATAAACATTATGTTGGTTTTCTTTCGCTTCATGTCGATATTTTCTTTGTAAACTCCTTTCTTTATATATATGATGTACCTTCTATTGCTATAATTTGGAGCTTCGTTTACCGCCTCAGTGATGGAACGAAAATCTCCGCTTCCATCCAAAGCAACAATTGCATCGACATGAGCGCTACGTGGATGAGATTTCACGAGCTCATGCTCGTCATCCGTCATCCAATCTGGAAACTCCGAACTCTTGGTTATCTCTATCGTTTCATTCCGTGGGGGTTGAAACGGCGAGCTGTGTAATTGAGTGTACAATGCCAAGACATTGCTAATGAGAAGCGTAACTTGCTTCAAACTACCTCTAATGAAGCCTACAAGATGTCTGTCTGTGCCCTCAAAGCCTTCAAGGCATGTGTCTTGGTTGCTAAGAGCAGCACTCAGCCATGCTTTTAGATTCCCTTCATCCGGAGCCTCGTTTTTGCCTGTACGAATCCTTTTCATCTCGGCTAACGACCAAGCGAGCTCGGAAACAGAGAAATCGAGAAGCTCCTTGCAGTCCTCAATCGCCATTTCTTCCCGATAGCTAAACGAGAACGTGCTGAACTTTGTTATGGACTCTATGGCTCGTCTCGCTTCGTTAAGCGTCGCTCTAATCGCAGCACTCAAGACAGAGCTTGGATTTGAATTGACACTTCGTCCTAGCTCATGTTGTATGTTCGAAATGCACGAATTTCGATCTTCCATATCGGAACAAATCTGAGAAATCATAGACTGTGTAACGTTATTTTGCTCGTTCGGGTAGATAACATCGATGCACGAAACTCGTAATGTAGGAAGGAGGATGCATATAAAAAGATGAATGGCTACAGAAACTCTTAACATGATTGAAAAGGAAGGAAAAGAAGTAGATTTTTTTCCTCGTGTGTGGAAAACTTTTGCACATATATAATAAAAAAAAAAGCAGAGGAATTGATTGAATATACCTTTTCTCTTGACATGGTTCAAGTTATGCTTCGCTTTATTCCTTTCCATTGGATTCTTCTCTAAAGCCTCAAGAATTCGCAGCTTTCAAACCCCATGGTGAAGAAAAAACTGAAACATTTAGTAGAAAGACGTCAAGTAATGAATCTATTCGTAAATGATTCCCCAATATCACTATTGCAATCCCACGTCGTTGACGGGAACGAAATAGTTCGATAGATATCAATTTATATGCATCTAATGCTCAAAATGGACAATATCGTATCATTGTGGAGGTTCGTGATTCCTAACTGGTATCAGAGTCATGTCTTTAACTTAGCCATGTCAATAGAATTCTCAAGTGTTAAACAAACAAGTTGTGTGTCTCGAAAACGTAGTCAGAGTGATTAAGCGTCGAACAAATTGTGTATTTAGGGGAGGCTTTATGGTGTACTTTGTTCGAGGAGAGAATTGTTGGGAGAGAAGTCCCACATCGACTAATTAAGGGGTTGATGATAGGTTTATAAGTAAGAAATACTATCTCCATTGGTATTGGTATGAGACATTTCGGGAAATCAAAAGCAAAATCATGAGAGCTTATGCTAAAAGTGGACAATATCATATCATTGTGAAGGTTCGTGATTCCTAACATGGTATCAGAGTCATGCCCTTAACTTAGTCATGTCAATAGAATCCTCAAATGTCAAACAAAGAAGTTATATGCCTCGAAGATGTAATCAAAAGTGACTAAGTGTCGAACAGAGGGTGTACTTTGTTCGAGGGCTCCATACGCCTCAGGTGAGGCTCTATGATGTACTTTGTTCGAGGGGAGGATTGTTCGAAGAAGAGTCCCACATCGGCTAATTAAGGGGTTGATCATGAGTTTATAAGTAAGGAATACTATCTCCATTGGTACGAGCCCTTTTGGAAAAACCAAAAGCAAAGCCGTGAGAGCTTATGCTCAAAGTGGACAATATCATATCATTGTGAAGGTCCGTGATTCCTAATATGGTATCAGAGCCATGCCCCTAACTTAGTATGTCAATAGAATCCTCATTTGTTGAACAAAGGGGACTAAGTGTCAAACAAAGGGTGTACTTTGTTCGAGGAGAGGAGTCCCACATCGGCTAATTAAGGGGTTGATCGTGGGTTTATAAGTAAAGAATACTATCTCCATTGGTGTGAGGCCTTTAGGAAAACCAAAAACAAAACCACAAGAGCTTACGCTCAAGGTGGACAACATCATATCACTGTAGAGGTTCGTGATTCCTAACATACATATCGAACATGACAAACACGTATGCACAAAAAATCTAATCCTGCAACCCCAAGCATTCAGAATTTCAAGCATATCTGAGGAGAGCACAAACGGGAGAGATGCATGCAACTAGAGTTTCTTGATCTGGAGGCAAGCAGGTTCATTAAAAGCACTTTAAAGGATTCTAAACTACAAAAATAATGGCTGATATTTAGCCAAATATTATGAAGATTTGAAAAGTGATTTAAAATAGTTAAAGACACTCTTTAGCATAGTGAATAAACAATCCCATTACTTTAGAAGCTACTTTCTGAAAGGTAGGGAATAAGATAAGCAAATAGCCTATTATTGTAACAATTACTTCATAATGAAACCATGTACCTGTTTCAAATCCAAATCTACTGATCTTTTACGACCAGAAAGAACACTGCCCCGTGTCTGGCTCTGATATCGTTTGTAGTAGCTTAAGTCCACTGCTAGTAGATATTGTCCTCTTTTAGCTTTCCCTTTCAGGTTTTCACTCAAGGTTTTAAAATGCTTCCGACAGGGAGAGGTTTTCACACCCTTATAAGGAATGTTTCGTTCCCCTCTCCAACCGATGTGGGATCTCACAATTCAACCCCTTGGGAGCCCAACATCCTTACTGGCACACTACCCGATGTCCAGCTCTGATACTATTTGTAGCAGCCCAAGCCCACCGCTAGCAGATATGTCCTCTTTGGGCTTTCCCTTCCGGACTTCCCCTTAAGGTTTTAAAATGCGTCCGTTAGGGAGAAGTTTTCACACCCTTATGAGTGCTTCGTTCCCCTCTCCTACCGACGTGGAATCTCACCATCCATCCTATTTGTAGCTTCTCCTCAAGGTTTTAATACTATTGGTAGAATCTCACCATCCATCCTATTTGTAGCTTCCCCTCAAGGTTAGTACTATTTGTAGCAACTAAAGCCTACCGCTAGCAGATATTGTCTTCTACCCAATCCTACTACTAGCAGATATTGTCTTCGACCCAAGCCTACCGCTAGCAGATATTGTCTTCTACCCAAGCCAACCGCTAGCAGATATTGTCTACTACCCAAGTCTACCACTAGCAAATATTGTCCTCTTTACGCATCCGTTAGGGAGAGGTTTCCACACCCTTATAAGGAATGTTTCGTTTCCCTCTCTAACCGATGTGAGATCTCACAGAAGCCATAATCAAGATACTGCAAACCAACATCGTCAACTGAAAGACAGACCACCATAACCAAAATCTCAAGCTTTGGCAAAGAAGATACAGAACGTAGCGATTCATTTGTCAAATGTATTAACCTAATATCAAGTTCAGTTCACAAATTTTAACTATAATACTGTATTGCCAAAAGAAAATGATCGGAACTGCTTGGCCGATGATTTTAAAAAATTCTAAAACAAAATTTCTATGAGAATATGTGCCCTAATTTTCAAGAATAACTGCACTTGTTCTTAACATAACGATCTTAAATTTTCTAATCCACTTAATAATCCTAGTTCTTGAGAAGCGTCTTAAAACCAGATGCTTATGAATTTTGCAAGGAAAACATCAACAATTTTGCAGCGCTTCACGTATTGAAAGTTGAAATTAGAAATTTCGCAACATTCACAAAGAAAATGATCGGTACTGCCTGGACGATGATTTTAAAAAAATTTAAAACAAAATTTCTATGAGAATATGTGCCCTGATTTTCAAGAACAATTACACTTGTTCTTCAAGTGGAAGAACATAGCGATCTTAAATTTTCTAATCCACTTAATAATCCTAGTTCTTGAGAAGTTCTTAAAACCAGTTGCCTATGGATTTTGCAAGGAAAACATCAACCATTTTGCAGCGCTTAGAACATTTCGTTTCACGAATTGAAACTTGAAATTAGAAATTTCGCTACATTCGCAACAAAAACCAGAAGTAAAACAGATCAAGAAAAGCTTGAGATAAGAGAGATCAAGAACCTTCAAATCGGAGCACTTCGTACACCAAATCTCAACGTCGAGACTAGAAACCTGCAAACACACTTCAAGGGAACCTCATATTATCAAATTTGATTTGAGATATTAAGTTTGGAATATATTTTTGTATACATTTGTGATTTTTTTTTCTTATTTTTAGGAATTGCATAGACCAGACGTATGAGTCATGATCATGAACATTCCCTAAATTAGCTAATATGGGACAATCCTCGATATAGAGGTGAAATTGAACTTTTGATGAAACAAAGTACGCTATAGAGCCTCCCCAAGGCCTATGGAGCCTTCGAACAGCCTTCCCTTAATCGATGCTCGACTCCTCTTTTGGAGTTTTCGAACAAAGTACACCATTTGTTCGACACTTTAGTCACTTTTAACTATATCTTCTAGGCTCACAATACTTTGTTCGACATTTAAGGATTTTATTGTCATCGCTAAGTTTAGGGCATGGTTCTATACTATGTTAGGAATCACGACTCTCTAGATAATGGTATGATATTGTCCATATTCAAAATGGCTTTGCTTTGGGCTTCCCAAAAGGCCTCACCCTAATGGAGATAGTATTCCTTGCTTATAAACTCATGATCATTCCCTCAATTAGTCGGGGACAAACCTCAACAATCCGATCTCACCTTCTCCAACCCCTCACAATTGGACGTTGCCGTCAATTGCCAATCTCAAACCTCCAACTGTACCACATGTCAGAAAATTAGCAACCTCGTGCAAGCCATATTCACCGTCTCCAATCCGTTGAGGTTCGTAGGTTAAATGAACATCTTTAAATATTAATATTTTGTGTGAAGTTCAGATGTAAACGGAGAAAACAAGACATTATTAGACATAATCACTTAAAAAAAATAGCCCAACAACTATAAGATCCCACATTGAAGAGGGGAACGAAACATTTTTGTAATGGTGTGAAAATTTATTTAGTGGCATGTCAAGGAGGACGCTAGGCCTTAAAGGGAGTGGACACTAAACGGTGTGACAAAGAGGATGCTAGCCCCAAATGGGGTGGATAGTAGGTGTGTACATGGTTCGAGCTGGGTTGGGTTGGGTTGGGTTGGGTTGGGTTGAGAGATCTTTTTGACCCAACCTAATAGTTCGGTTTGGTTGGATTGGTAACCCAACCCAACCCTCCATATTTTCGAGTTGGGTTGTCAAATTTTATTTATCCACAATTTATAATTATTCGGATACAAATAAAATAGGTTAAAAGTTTCCAAACAAACAAACATCAATCTATAATTATCAAAAGAAAAAAAAAAAATATATATATATATAGATATATATATATAAACAAACGAAAATGGTTACATATTAACATAGTTCATCATTGTGATAAAACTAAAAACAACTAAATACCGACATTTCTTGAGAATTTGTATCATGAAATTAATTAAAAATATATACAAATAGATTAAAATTTTTTTTGTTACATATTAACATAATTCAACATTGTCATAAAACTAAAAACAACTCAATACCGATTTTTTTTTTAGAATTTGTATCATAAAATTAATTAAAAATATATACAAATATATATATAAAAAATAATAAATAAATTTAAAAACAACTAAATACGGACCTTTCTTAAGAATTTGTATCATAAATTAATTAAAAATATATATAATAAAATTGACATTTCTTGAGAATTTGTATGATGAAATTAATTAAAAATATATATAAATAGATTAAAAAAAATTTGTTACGTATTTACGTAATTCAATATTGTCATAAAACTAAAAACAATTAAACACCTACATTTCTTGAGAATTTGTTTCATAAAATTAATTAAAAATATATACAAATATATATAAAAAAAATAAATAAATTTAAAAACAATTAAATACGGATAGGAATTTATATCATAAATTAATTAAAAATATATACAAATAGATAAAAAAAAAATAAATAAATAAATTCAATAAAAAACAATAAACAAAAATTGTTACATAATAACATAGTTCAACGTTGTCATAAAACTAAAAACAATTAAATACTGACATTTCTTGAAAATTTGTATCATAAAATTAATTAAAAATATATATAATAAATTAGGTATAAATCATAATTAATAAACATATCATAAACCTACACAATAAAACATGTGTTTGCCTAGCGTCGAACTCGGACATGAGTGTTATTCCACAAAGGTTTTGTCCCACGAACCCGCAACCGAACCATTTCTATTCGGGTTCAAAAAAATGAACCACAACCCTACTCGAAATGCTAATCTATCCCAACCCAACCCTTAGAGTTCGGGTTGGGTTGGTCTGGGTTGTTACGTTGAATGTACATCCCTAGTAAACACCGAGCAATGTATCAGCTAAAACGCTGAGATCCGAAGAAATGGATTGTGAGATCCCACGTTGATTGGAAAGAGAAACGAGTATGACACTGATCACGAAGGGGTAGATTACGAGATGGAAATCAAACTTTTATTTATAATTTCAAAAGTTTTAACTCATTAATAAAAAATTATAAGATATATAACAACTAATATCTTAATTTTAAACTTAAATATATAACAATTTAGTTCACAAAAAATGCCTTTAAATATTTTATTTCTTAAAACTCGATATGGGGTTATTATCGTCATTTCACAACATCTTTCCCCTGGCCCCTTCTATATAAGAAGGATCTTACAGGCTAGGGTTTTACACCAAAGGTTCTTCACATATCATTTTCTGAATGCTTGTTTTTGTTTATGCGCAGTCGAAGTTCGGTAGATTTCAGCGTTTTTTCTTCAAATTCTGGGGTTCAATATCTCAAATCTCGCACATAGTTCTTCTTGGAAATTTGTTTCTTTTTGAAGTTGTTTCCAGGATTTTATTTGTGCGTACAGCGAATCATCCTTTCTGCTTGAGCCATCTCTCTCTTTTCCATAGAGATTTGCTCCAATGTAACTGGATTATATCAATTTCATTCATCCCCGAATTATCTTTTGAATTCTGTATTCGATTATTTTGTTGATTTGTTTAGGATTGCGCGTTAATGCCTAATATAAGTATGCTTGACCTCGCGATATTCCATCGATCTCCGGTGATTTCTTGGCTTTAATCTGGTTTTCGATGTTTTCTCCCTTAGTTTCCTTACACATTAGGTTTTTTAGAGTTCAAATCACTGGAAATCGATTATTCCTAGGTTTGAGTAGGTTTTCACCAGACGATCTGTTAGTAACATTATTGTTTTCCTCCATTTTACGGCTGATGATAAATTGTTACTTTAGTTCATTGACGGATTTGCTTACATGAGCTGATTGTTGTAGGGAATCTCACTAAGGATGTGAGTTTATAGAGATCGTTCAATCAATGGCATTTTGATTAGATTCATTCTGTAGATATGTTCTTGCTTTTGACACAGTGTTCAACATATCAAGTTTTCTTGCATCCTTATGAACCTAAGATCCAGATATGAATTTGAATTCTACTATAAGAAGTGATAATGTTTTTCACGGATCTGAGCTTAGCTGCTTAGCTTTACATTCCCCTACAGAAATTAAATATATCAGAGCGTTGTCTTGGCCAGGATGATGCTCCACATCTGATCAAGAACTTTAGGCATTTGTAATTGGTTTATGTTTTCATTTATAACATTATCTGCTGCAATGTTGAACATAATTTGTGCTACCATAGAGATGGATCCATTGCTTTTGTAACGTGATTTTAAAGATTGATTTGCATAGGTCATTGACAGGGAAATCGCTGCAGGTGTCGGTGGAAATCACCCTTTTCAAGGGATTGAGTCCTACTTTGATTAATTTAGTGGAAGATCATTGATTTGTAAGTGAGAAATACTATCTTCGAAACTTTCTGGGGAAGCCCAAAGTAAATCAGGAGAGATTATGCTTAAATTGGATAATAAAGTAAACTTTTTGAGGTTTGAGTGAATAGTCTGTGAATATTCTTATCGATAAATATTCTTGCTGACAGACGAGATGGAAAGAACTAAAACAGCCATGGCAATTGAAATGAGCTTCTACCATTTTTGCTTGAAATTAAGAGTCGAAGATGAGTGGAGAAGGTTGAGAGGATGGCCTTCGTATGGCAATGGTCGATCTGAGCTTTTGGAGGTCCTTATCATTTTAATGAAATTTTTTAATATATGATTTTTATTTTTTCAATATTAATTATTATTTGAAGTGGAAGATGGTTATGTAAATTATTATTTGTTTTATTATTCGTTGATGAATTCCCTTGCAAATATATAATTAATCTATGTTTGGGTTACAATTTATCATTCACTTCCTATAAAAAATAGTTTTAATTTTTAATTTGGTTTGTTTATTTTGTTATATTTTTTTCAAATATTTGAAATATAATAATGAAAATTGATTCATTGAGTCAATTATTAATTAATGTTTTCTGTAAATGCATAGTTTTACCCCTTAGTTTCAATCACAATATTGGAATTTTTTTTAAATACAAAATGACTAATTAGTTTTTTAAATAAAAAGTTCAATATTTTTAAAATATATTTTTATGTTCTTTTTAAATATATATTATTTCCAAATTTGTGCGTTATTTTAAATATATATATATATATATATATATTTTTTTTTTAAGTTTTGGTTTGGGGCTCTCACAAGTTAAATTTTGCATATACAAGTTTTTTGTGCTCACAAGTTAAGTTTGAGGCATTCACAAGTTAAATCGCGTGGTGTTTCCACGAGTTAAAAGTTTTAATGTCTATGCTAGGGAGATGTTTTTGAATGTTTGGTTTTACATGTCCAAAATACCTCATTCAACATCCTTGTTGGCATTTAGTCTTAGATATGATTTTGATATTATTACTTTGCTGATTGAAAATATACTTTTTTTGATATTCGAATCACTCCGTTCACCAATACACTGCACAAGTAAAATCGATCATTTCTAACTTATGATTCTAAACAAGTAATCTAGTAAAGAAATTTAGTGCTAAAAAAAGGTAAGGAACATGTGCAAAGTGACCATCCATCTAAACTATACATAGAATGGATATAACAAAATAATTTTATTAGATCTAGTATTTTCTTATTTTAACTTGTGTCTACTACATTTCTATCACTAAACAAGAACAAGAGCGAACAAAGAAATGGAGGGGACTAAGAGGATATAAGAATCGTTGTCTAAGATTTGAATCACTCTATGTGTAAGATCAATCATGTGAAGCTTGAATGTTCCTAAAGAAACATACAATTGTCTAAGATTTGAATCACTCTATGTGTAAGATTCACTCTATGTGTTCTATGTGTAAGATCAATCATGTGAAGCTTGAATGATTCTAAACAAACATACCATCTAACAATTATTTTGATCATGTTAACTTGTGAAGCTTGAATCATTCGAAAACTACACACAATTATGTAATATACAATCTGAAGAATGTGAAGCTTGAATCATTCGAAATATACAATCTTAACAATTACTCTAGGACCAAAATCGATCATGTTAACTTGAATAATTATTCTAAACGTAAAATCTAAAACTACACACAATTATGTAATATTTTAAATAATTTTAAACATGCAATCTAAAAAAAAAAAAAGAAATTAAAATATAATAATGAAACACTAATAATTTTTATCCATATTCATATAAGAACAAAGTCACATTGTAGTTGCATTTATTTGGAGACTTGACTAATGTCAAATTGATTACAAATTCTTGAGTTGATAATTTGAATGAACTTCCTTCAAGAAGTTCATTAGTGTCTTGTTCATATTAGAGATCTTGTATGTAGAGGGTCCACAAGTCTCCTTCCCCTCTCCACCTTCAAAATTCATATCAAACAACATCCAAGGAGTTGAGTTGAAAACTTGCAATAATCGCTAATCAATCAAATGGATTGCAATATGATCCAAGTTTTTATGACCATCATCAAATCAAATGGATTCTAGATAGATATCTCTAACACGAACCAGACACAAAATGGCCATCACAAAATCAAACAAAAGGACTATAAAAGTCTCGCTGAGTAGCATTCGATCGATTCGTAATCAACAATATTACGGCAGAATCGTAAGCAGAGATGGAACAACTGATAGGTAACTAAAATCTACCAAAATTTGCATTTTGAGTTCAAAATAACACACACTAGCATTGAATTAGCTTGAAAACAACGTAAGATCAAATCAAACCCTGTATCCCCTGCTGTTTCTCTTTCCTCTTGCCCTCTCAAACTTCCTACCCTTCGACCTCACATACGGTTTGCTATGGCTGTGCGGTACACCAGGCGCGGGACCAAAATGCTTCACAGCCTCCCGGGAGTTCTTAGAACCTCTAAGAAGAACCTGCAGATGGGACCAAAAGAATAAAAATGTAGCCAACAGATGATTCAAACCCCTACAGAACTACTAAACCATTATTGCTGGAAACTCGTTAGCTTTTATCTACAGTCTACAAGAGATGATATATGGATAAACATTGCTAACTGAAAACAGTACAATATATTAATCCCAAAGTGTAGCACCAAGTTTAAAATGCAAATGGACTACATTACTTGAACCCAAAAAAAGCCCATTCGGCACATTCAAAAACAGTGTTAACAGAAGTATCAATGAAAAGTGCCATACCGTGTTCTGACCCAGTGGAGCCCTCAAAGCAAGCTGGTCAAATGTCAAGCACTCCCCACCAGCCTTCTCAATCCTTGCCCTTGCTGTCTCAGTAAACCTCAGAGCAGCAACTTTCAATGGTGGAACTTCATAGACACGAATATCATCGGTAATAGTCCCAACAACGACAGCAATCTTACTTTCCTATTACATCACAAGGAAATGTGCAGAGTTTCAGATATATCAAATATGCACAATCCTAAAAAACAACCCAAATAAAATTAGAAAACTACATAATTAACCAACCTTTCCTTTCGTGAACTGGATAAGCCTAGAGAGAGAAAGTGGAGGCTTGTTAACCCTGCTCATAAACAGGCGCTTGAGAATCACAGCATTGAACTTGCTTCCAGTACGACGAACAAGGAAGCGGTAAAGCTGATAAGAAATAGGAGAAATAATTTGTTTAGTGAATGCGGGCCAGGTGATGTGTGTATTTGCAAGAAAACACACAAGTAGAAAAACGTATTACACTTCATGCATAAAATACATGAAGGTAAATTAAGTACCCTCCCCTCTCCCATGACAGAATCACCATAAAAAAACGATGCCCATCCGCTCAAAATATAGAAATATTGGAGCCAGTTCCCTCAGAACAATTAAAGTAAGGATTAATCACAAAGTGATCAGCATTAGCATGGTCAAGTTAATCATCACTGGGAACATTTTATGCTTTTCCAACAAAATCAAACAAAATCCGAGAAGTATAGCTCATGCAAATCGAGGTATATTGATATATTCAGTACCCAAAAAGGGCAAGTAATATAGGTAACATAGTAATTTACGTATTATCCACTTACATTTGAGTATTTTCTTATCCTAAAAAGGAAAAAGCAATAATTTACTTCAATTGTGGAAACATGTTATGGATAGAAAAAATGACACTAAAACTAGACGCAAGGCTCAGATATTGTGGGTAAAAGACTATTCCCCGACCTACAAAAGATCTCATCATGAGCTGGGATTCACAAATATCATCAAAGCAGAAAGACCAGTCATCGAAACCAATTCGTTCGAAAAAAAATACAAAAATTAGGCTTATAAACTGCTAGCAATTTAAAACGGATTTGACAACCGCAACGCAGACAGAGCGAAATTAAACTTAGAAGATGAATCAAATAATGAGGGAAAACTCCGTTTACAGAAACCAAAAATCCAACCGACTGACATTTCAGTTAATTTTCAATGGAAGCATCTCAAAGACAATCCAACAAAACACAATTAAGCGACTCAAACAATCAGGCATATTTAAGAATCAATAGATCAAATAAAAGTGCATATGCACGAGAAATATCGATTAACAAGTACCTTGACGAGTAACTTGAGATAGATATCATCAGATTTGGGCGCAGTCCTCTTGGTCTTCTTGCTCTTACCTCCTGCGACGAGATCGATCCCCTAATCACAGCAACAAGTAAAATCCAAACAAGAAATACAAATCAGCCATTAAAGGTGGAAATTCAAACAGAGAAGGCAACGATTAAGTAGCGAGATTTAGAGGCTACCATTGTAGCTCTCTGAGTCTGCGAGCTGCGTTCTGCTGCCGGTGCTGAAGGAAGACGAAGGTGAAAACTAGGGTTTTAAATTCCTTTTATAGTGCTGGATCGCCCCTTGTCCATGGTGGGCTGGACCGGGCCAGGAAGACGGCCCGTTTTAAAATTAGCCATAAAAAGAAAATAAATAAATAAATAAATAATGCTCATAATTAATTTATTTTATTTTTTTTTAATTTTTAATAATACTATTGAAGTATCTGAAGTAGAGTCGATGTGTATGAAATTGATACCTCTTACATATGAACATATTGTGTGCTCGATGAGGCTTAGGGAGCGTTAAAGTAGTATGAGCTTAGTGGGTTTTGTACGTGCAGAGGTGATGTATGCATAACTATGTGTATGAAAGTGATACACATCACGAGTGTAGAAAAGAATTAGAGTCGAGGTCTGTCCTTGAAGTCTCATTAAGAATGTATGTTATGACTCATATCGCACGTGGTTGCTTTTTGCAACTCCGACCGTGGAGTTACTTATTGAACATTTTGATATACTCAACCTTTATGACATTTTTTATCCGCATGGCAGTTAACGACTCTTGATAAATGGGTGCAGGTGAATTCTCCGTCCGATGAAATTCCCGTGTAGACGGAGAATAGGAAAGAAATGGGGAATATTCTTTTTCATTAGGTAAATGGGGTTAATGGGGAGGAAGTGGGGAACGTTTTTTTTTCGATAGATAAATGGAGTTGGAGACGAGATTATACTCCCCATCCTCGCTCAATTCCCCATCCGCACTCCATTTAATATATATATATATATATATATATATATATTTATGTTTTTTTTTGCTATATTAAAAAAATAAATCTATTAATTTTAAGACTATAATATATATTTTAAAATTTTAAAGAATTATGTTGAAATATTAAAATTTGATTTTTAATCTATTAATTTTAAGACTATAATACATATTTTAAAATTTTAAAGAATTATGTTGTAATATTAAAATTTGATTTTTATAGAAATTAGGTTATCCGACCATTTTATATATATATATATATATTTTAATGAAATATATTAATTTATTTTTACAATTTTTAATAAAGATTATATTGAAAAATGAAAATTTCAAAATAATTATTCTATTAAAAAATAATAAACTAGAAAAAATTATCACGTCTCCCTACCCGATAAACGAGAAAAAGTTATCCGATCTCCCTATCCGATAAACGAGAAAAAGTTATCCGATCTCCCTATCCGATAAACAAGAAAAAGTTATCCGATCTCCCTATCCGATAAACGAGAAAAAATCATCCCATCTCCCTACCCGATAGTTATATGTATCCCATCTTTCAAAATCTCTCTGCCCCGTTTTCTAAAACTTTCTTCTTGAAACGAAACCAGAGACTCGTGCATACGTCACTTGATCGTAGGCAAATCAAGAATGAATAGGCTTAACTCACTTGTTGTTGGAAAGTGAGTGCCGCACAATCATCAGTCCGCTGCCATCAAAGTGCGATTGTGACAAGCGGTGGTATCATCCAAAAAATAAAAAATAAAAAATAAATGGAAAGCTTTGTGGATAAGAAATGAAATAGGTGGCAAGGATAGGGACGGAGAAGCCTTCCCCTTCTCTAACCCAAGGACATCTGGAAAAAAAAAAATGTTAATTTGAGCATAGCTTAACCGACCGGAACCAAAATGATGCAAAGAAGTGCATGGAGAGCAGATTCACATAATAATGTGAAGGGATTTTAAGTACAATTCTGATACTAAAAATATGGAGACAAAATAGGCTGTTAAGACTTATAAAAGTGCAGAGAATGAAGAAATTAAACGAAGTTTGTTCTCTAAGTCGTGTCGGCCCCACCCGTCCCCCGACGTTGTTTCTTTAAGATACCCTCAATCGAGTCGTTCCATCTGCAACCGAAATAAGATATAGCTTCGACATTCAACATCTACACTAGGCAGCATGAAGAAACATGGGAGGGAAGGGAATGAACTATAATATACCTTCCAAAGACCGTCGTTAAGGTAATGCATATTGTCCACGCCAATCCCTTTGTTCGTCGCCCTTCTGTAAATTACAAACGAGGAGTTTTAAGTTTCATCCACACCACGTCAACGACATTGTTATTGTAACAACTCAAACCCACCGCTACCAGATATTGTCCTTTTTAGGCTTTCCCTTAAGGTTTTTAAAACGCGTCTGTTAGGGGAAAGGTTTCCACACCCTTGTAAAGAATGCTTCGTTCTCCTCCCTACCCGACGTGGAAACCTCTTGAGGGAGAGCCCAAAGAGGACAATATCTACTAGCGGTGGGCTTAAACCGTTACAGTTATTTGACAAGTTTACTCACATTTCCTTGGCTGACATCTTTGTGAAGCCAATAGCAAGAGCATGTTGCTTCCCTTCTGCCATTATTGCCTGAAAAAAAATGTTTGATTCTATATAAGAAACCTACTAACAATCACAAACGGAATAAACAACGGAGATTTCGAGTCGATAGATAAGAGCGGATATTTTACCACAGGTGTATCGGCTTCGACTTCATCGTCCAAGGCACCGCCAGGGGACGTAAGACCAGGACACATTATGTTAGCACCAGCAAGGACAAACTTTATGGCACCTCTGTCTACTTGTAATTTTTTCATAATGTTAGGATCTGCAAACCAAATAGAATGGTATGGATAATGATAATGACGAGAACAAATCAGTACCATAAACAAGAATGTCATAAAAAAAAACGAGAACAAACGGTCGAAGGAGGGGTCGTAATGTTGATTCATAAGGGCATTTGTAAGGCCGAATGGCATGACCAAAACTTCGTTATGGCCTTCATGAGTTCGAAAAATGGTCTTAGCAATGGACTCCTTGTGCATTCCTATCTGGTTATAACTCGAGTTCAACTATCATCCTTGTACGTGACTCGAAAACAGGCTAATATTGGGCCTAATAATTCCACCAGCTAACATTTCATCTATCAAGCATTCGATCTCGGGCTTTTGAGCACGAGGATAACGAAACAAAATCCACATTCACCATGATTCTCAACTCCAATGACAAGGCTCGAGAACTCCTCGACAGAGTCCCTTCCCTTTCACCGCTTCCCAAGTTCCCATAACAACACCGTAGCTAGTAGATTACGTCGAAGGCAACTTTCCAACTTGTGTGTTGCTCCACAATCTATCAATATTATAACGTCGTGATCCTCGATAAACCCTTTTAGTTTCATGGTGTGGATAGACCAACCACCGAGTTTGGCGATAACTCCACCCCCGAACTCACTTCTAACATCTAAGTCTCCTCATGCACGTCTTCCATTTCATCTTCTATCTCGTCTGTTGATACCAGAAGTCGGAGCTTTTTTTTTTTTTTTTTTTTTAACCGA